TCCTGATGTCAGCTCCTTTGGGCCGTAGAGGATGGGGCACGTTTTCCATGTTGCAGAGTACTCCATTTTTGCTTAAAATCCACTAGCTGTGCAGGGACCCACAGAGCAGAATAGCTTTAAGTTTCCCAGAATAGTCCACCCCTTCCCCCCCATCAGCTAGTACTCACAGTCTCAGTCATTCACTCTGAGACATGAGTAGGAGAAAGAATAAAATGTTCCATTAGTTACAACTGAACCAATCAAAGAGCAAACTGGCCAGTATGATGGCTTTCAGCAAACAGAACTTCCACAGATTCTTGAGAGGGAAAGAGATACGCTCAGCAGAGAGGCAGGGCTCTCTTTGAAATCAGAGGCAAAGAAAGAATGGTTTGTTAGTGCTGGAGAGATGGACAGTGTCCCCCAGCCCAGAAAGACTCCTCCCAGCCAAACTTGCTAAAAGCAGCATACGAGGTTGTAAAAGCTCCCCAACATTCCAGATTTTGCTGGAGGACCCAAGCCTGGGGAGAAAGCTGCACTGGAAGGAGGTCACCTAGCACCTTAAAGGTCAACACTTGGAAAACATACTTTTCTGAACTTTGTTTGCCAGAACTGCCCAGCTAGCATGGTCAGCTGTAGTTGCAAAAAAATGAAAATAAAATAAAGGCATTATCCAAGCTCTGCTCCAGCTGGCATCAGCCCCAGCCAATATGGCTCTTATCCAGGACTGGTTACGAGGTCTTGAGAGCAGCACATCCCCTGCTTTGCATGAGAACTTTCTCTCCGTTGCAAGTTAAGAAAAGCACCTCTGATATTGCTGGTTGACGTGAACAATATAACCAGGAACCCCCTCCAGCTTTCCTGGATCACAGATCCGGTAAATGCCTCAACTCTCTGCCAAACCGTGCCCATCAGGAGGCGTTTCTCCATTTCCTGAGATGGTGCTGTCTTTTGTTTTGGGTATGTCTCGATGCAGGTACTCTTGGGAGCCATGAAAACAAAGAAGACTTCCGATTCTGTGCGGACAGAATTCAAATCGAGAAAGGTTTTGTCCATTACCGAGTCCAAAAGGACACCATCACCATTGTAAACAGCGCGGAGGGACTGACTATCACTGCACCGTTTCCACCAGAACGTCCGAACGGCACGCTTCTGGAATCGGGAACGTGGCCCCTGCCCGAACTTTTGGGAAGTTACCGCTTCTGCATTTACTGGTTCCAGGATGCCTCTCTCTTCATGCTCCGCTATGGGGGCAGCAAAAATTACAGCCTCAGCACGCAAGCGACTTATCCCCTCTATTCTCCCAATATCACTGGGATATACAATAGGACAGGGGGCCGGCTGCTTCACAACGTCTCCTATGCCTTTGATAAGGGCTTCCAAAACATCTCCCTTTTTAACGCCTCCACCTACAAATTCTTCTTCACAGGTGAGTCTCCTTCTTTCCAAGAAGTGCCTTGCGGGGGGGAGGGAGGGAAGCCAAAGGCCGACGCGTCCAGCCTCGATTCTGAAAGCAATCCATTGCCTTTAAACCCCAAAACATGGTGGGTCACGAAAGGGGGGCTGGGCTGCACCAGAAATGATTCCAGTGAGGAAGTCAAGTTCGGAGCTTGGGGGGTGGAAGGAAAACCAGCATTTTAAACTGGCTTCTCGAATGCCTCAGGCATCGTGGACTCTGTTCTCCTGGCTGGGCCCTGAAGCCTTGAGTGCAGTCAGGTTGTCTCTGACAACTCAAAGCTGTCTGGAGAGCTCAGTGGTTTTGGTCTCTGGCTGGAAAGCCAGAGGTTGGGAGTTCGATTCCCCCACTGGGCCACCTGGGAGAAAAGCCAGCCTATGTAGCCTGGGGCAAGCTGCACAGTCTCAGAGCATCTCCACCCCACTAAAGAAGGCAACGATAAACCACTTCTGTGAATTCTTTACCTTTAAAAAAGGGCTGTCATAAGTCATAATTGACTTGATGGGACAGAGTTATTAGATGGCTGGATAGCTCAGCGAGTTTGGTATCAGCTGCGGAGCCAGAGGCTGGGCGTTAAAATTCCCACAGGGCCTCCTGGGAGAAGAGCCAGCCTGGGTGGCCTTGGGCAAAAAGCCGCACCGTCCCAAGGCGCTCCCTCAGGAAAAAGGAATGGGACACCACTTCTGACTATTGGAAAAACTTGGAAAAGGGTTGCCATAAGTCAGAATTGACTTGACAGCACATGATTCTTCTTAGTAATGTTTCAAAGGATGTGGTACATTTAAGGACTGGTTGGGCATTACCACACTGGAATGGGACACCTCTTCTGACTATTGGAAAAACTTGGAAAAGGGTTGCCGTAAGTCAGAATTGACCTGACAGCACACGATTATTCTTAATAATGTTTCAAAGGATGTGGTACATTTAAGGGCTCGTTGGGCAATACCACACTGCAGGGAGTTTCCACGGCGGAGCAGGGACTGGACATCTTAATAATAGTTATGTGCCTTGAAGTCCATTCCAGGGATTTCTTGCCGTTCTGTGCCACCAGGTTGGAACAAACTTACAGTGGTCTCGAAGAGGGGTTTCAAGGTGAGCGAGATGTTTTAGGAGTGGCTTTACCCGTTCCACTCCCTCAGGGGGTTTCCATGGCTGAGCGGAGATTCAAACCCTGATTTCCAGAGTCCTAATCCATCCATCCAACACCGCACTGGACTTCTAAGGATAGTGTTCTAGGCAGAAAGTACTCAGAAGTGGTTCCTCATTGCCTTCTTCTGGAGGTGACCTGTTGCTCTCTTCTGAAAGTTCACTATGAGACCCAGGCTATGCTTCTGAGTGTATGGCCACGGCCATGGAAACCTGCGTCTGTTTCAGTGATGGCTAAGATTCTTGCAAAACTGACTTCTTTCTTTAATCTCAGTTCTTGTGCAGCCGGTGAGCGTGGAATGACAAAATTCTGATAGTCAGAATTATAAGCCTAACCTATGGTTGATCAAATGGTACATTTCCCCTCTTTTTGTTTCCCTCGTTTGGCCCTACAGATTCCGGGAAAGTTAACCCCAATGATATGGAAGAGGAATTCAGACACACAGCAGAAATGCTGAAGAAGTTAGAAAGGGGCATAAAAGATGCCCCAAAAGGCAGGGCTTTAAAACGTGGAAATCCTTTTGGGTGAGTATTTCTGAGCCATTCCATGATAGGTGAAGATGACTCTTTATGAACGGTTTCTTGGCAATGAAGTGGATGGTGTGGGTGATGCACAGGGCAGGGGGCTGGGTCCCAAAATATATGATTAGAAACAAAAGCAAGAGGTCAAATTGATGGAGCTGGAAAGCAAGTAAGTTGACCAAGATTTTGAAAACGAAACAGGTCTTGCGAGAATCCAGAAACTCAGAGACACTCCTTTAAACCCAAAGTGTTTCAGTCCAAAGGAAGCCGTTGTTTCACAGAAATCAAGGCTGATAAATTTCCCCAAATTGCCTCTTTAAAGAAATTAAGCCGTTAAAAATCATCCTGGAAATTAGTAAACTAGTTTAAAAAGCCAAAACAAGCAAACAGTGGCTTGCTTCTATATATCTGAAAATATAACATCCTACTGTTACATCTGTCAAGCCAGACAGATCATCGGCAGATGGAAACCAGAACAGGAGAAAAATCAAATCTGGAGACAGGTTGAGACGGCGTCGTAGGTGAAAAGACTTTCTGGAAAAGACAATAATGCTAGGAAAAGTGGAAGGAAGCAGGAAAAGAGGAAGGCCAAAAACGAGATGGACTGACTCCCACAAGGAAGCCACAGGCTTGAGTTTGCAAGAGCCGAGTAGCGCAATGGAGGACAGGATATTTTGGAGGTGGCTCCTTCGTTGGGTTGCCATAAGTCAGAGGTGACTTGACAGCATGTAACAACAGCAACAATAACTAGGGTTTATTTTGTGTGGGGAAAAAATCTATAGAAGCCAAACTGTGTAGATCTGCCTAGTAGATGAAGGAGCTGCACCTTCAGGACATAAATCCTAGTTTTAAGTTTTATAAAATCAAGTTGTTAACTAAACACACTATCTTTGGAATAGCTTCTGTGCTTATTTGACATTACTCTTCAGAGAGATGCTTTGGAAGCCACTTGATTCAAGAGTCTTAGTCCAATGCTAAGTGGGTTGTAACGGGCTAGGAAAAGCTGAGTGACCATCTTCCCCTGGCTGACCGTAGAAGCAGCAACATGGGCATCAGCATCTCAGCCACGCCCTGTTTCCCCTCCCTCTTTCCGAAAGGCCTCTCCTGCGTTTGGAGTCCAAGTTGGGACAAATGGCTTTCCAGGAACCAAACAAGACGTTGCAGGAGGGGGAGCTGTTGCAGGCCAGCGTCTGGACCATCCCGCCCCGGAGTTCGGAACCGTTTTCCATCAAGTCTCAGCTGGAGGTGAGTAAGGGATACAGATGGGCACGAACTTGAAAAAAATCAGTGATTTGTGGTTAGCCACGAACCATGAACCTACATGAGCCAGCTGGAGAACCGAACCACGAACTGGTCTGATATTGGTGTGAGGACAGCCGACTGGCATATATTCCCCCATCCTTACTGTCCCCGGCTTCCTTCCCTCTAATCTGAGAGGTTTCCTTCTGCTCCAGTCCAGCCTCCTAATGCCCTGCATTTCTTTTTCACACCAGGCTAAAGAGGTCAGTGGCTACGAAGTGATTCTACCAAAATTCATCTTTGAAAATCCCAGGTCCAAGCACAAGGGGGGCAAGATGAAAGTGGTGCATTTGGCTGCCACCAGCCGGATCCTCTTCCAGGTAATGATTGGGATGAAGGCTCTGAGGATTGCCACAGGCGTGTCCGAAAAAAGAATCTTCTTTATCTTTTGTTTTGAAGAGACTAAAAGACCTGGTCCACCTTCAGAGCGGACGGAACCAGCCCAGGTTTTTACAACACGAGCACAAATACTTTAAAGCAATGCTTAGATAAAAACAAAACTGCCAGCATGGTTTTGTGGGCTAGTAATCAGAGGGTCAGGAGCTTTCCAAGGTCCTGAATGCATTTTGGAGATGTGCTCAGAGCCTTGGGGAGGTCCTGTAAAGTTTGGACTAAAACGTGGAGTGGATTCATCGTCTGCCAGCTCTACTGCATCCAGTTGCTTTAGATGGCAAACTGACCACCTTTTCAGGTGAATGGTAGCCCCAGGAAAGGTGGAATAATAGTGTGGTCTCCGAGAGGCTGCAGCAAATCATTTGAGATCCATTTGAATGGGAACGTTTCATCTGCATTTCCTGAGCCAACATCCAGCCCAAAATACAGATTTTTGGGCTGTGTGCTTTTCTGAAATTGGTGAGCTAGTACCCAAATGCAAAAAAAGCATACAGGAAAAAATGCAAAACAAAATGTGCTTTTATTGATAAGATTCTGCTACCGTGCACTAGAGTAGGTTGCTTGCAAAAATGCATATGCCAGGTAAAATATTGTAATAATTTTTTATAATTAGATGAAGCACAGCAAAATGCACCTAAGGTAGCCTACCAACAAGGCATTACTTAACTGAAAAGCAAACAAGACACCACCTGCTACGTTTTAATTCACTCCCTGCTTTAGGGTATCAACTGAATTCCAACTTTCTAAGAGCTTCAAGTTTGCATCTGTGCAAGATCAGGCTTTAACATGTCGTCCTTGGTTCTGCATCTGTTCAAAGAAAAGTGCTGAAATTGCAGGGTGTGTTTCACATCCAGAGGTTGTGACCTGACAGCTTGCCCCACCTGCTTGTGGGTCTTGGAGGCTCATCGAGAGACAGCCCTGATGGGACAGAGTTTGCTCCCAGTCTTTAGAGGGAGGTTCTCCAAGACGGAGTTAAATAAAAAGACGCATGCCAAATTGATGCATAGGGAGAAAAGATTTGCCCCAAATGGCGTGCTACACCTAAGAGGAGCTTCGCGCTGGTTTGACCAGGGCCATCTGCTTGTCTAGTGGCTCCCTCAGGTTGTAACAAACAAGCAAGCCTGGTCGGATGGGCTCAAGAGCCAGGTACGCCAATAAAACTGACCAAAAGCATCATCTTCTCTGAGACCACTCTCTCAATGGCTTCCCGCCACTGATGACCAGGGAGGTAGAAAGCAAACAGGGTGCCCATTGACCTCCCGACAGCATGGAATCAGAGGCTGGAGATGGGGCTTCTCTTTTGGAGTACAAGTCCCAGAATCCTCTGGTTGGCTGGGGATACTGGGAGCTGTAGTCCAAAATTTTAATGTTTCTGCGCTCTGACATGTTTATGGATGAAGAGGGCATGATAAATGCAGTCAGCACTTAAAATGTGTTGCACAGAGATTATAAAACAGGAACCCACAAACCCTGTATACATTTCGACTTGTCGATGATTCATCTTCTTATTTTCTTCAGGTCCAAAATTCTAGCCAGATCCTTGGGGGAAAAGTGATCGGCGTCTCCGTGGGAAATACCCTCGTCCATCACCTGCCCCAGGAGCAGCGTGTGAGAATCACATTCTGGCACAGCGCTCTTCCGGTAGGTTGAAACCTCGGTTCCACTTCCATGCTCCCGGCATCCATGGCGATCCCTGCTCTTGGCACCATTCTTTCAAGATGAGCTGTTTGTTCGTTTGCTTTCAAAATAAAAACAAATCACCCTTGCCAGCAAAGTTTGTAGACCCAAACACCGATTTCTGGGTATCTTTTTTCCAGTCCCTGTTTAGGACAGAGAAAAATCACCGTGAGGTGACATTTCCCCAGTAAACGAGCTGGGATAGCTGGCTTTTATTAACAAGGCCCTGCTTGGCCGATGAAAGACTCTATCTGTTTTCAGTAATAATCTTAATTTTAGAAGGGCAGAGCTGGAAAAGGGGACCCTCTGGGTCGTGGAGTCCAGCTCCACTCAAGAAGGCCCCATAGTGGGAATCGAACTCCCAACCCCTGGCTCCATAGCCAGATGCCTTCAGCCACTAAGCTCTCCAGCAATTCTACCATGAATCTAGGGTGGATTGCTCTTTTTTTAAGAGGGATCTGTTCGGCTCCCACTCACTCTCCCCTCCTCCTTGGTCCCATTCCCTGCATCTTCGTGCTCCAGGATGAGAAGAGTTGAGCTCCTATCCCCACCTCTGATTTTGGCAAGGGCCTGCTCTTCAGGAGATGAAAGGGAATCTGGACCCACCGGGATGACTTTTCCTGCATCCCATGTCTGCAGGTGGTGATGGTGACCATGGGGCAGTGCCATGGGGTCAGGAGAGGTTGGCTGGATCCCAACTCATGGGGTGCTCATACACAAGGCATTTGAGCGGATTGCCTCTGGAATACAGTTGGCCCCGCTGGACGATTACCCCACTGTACAGTTTTGAGCGGATTGCCTCTGGAATACAGTTGTGCCCCGCCGTACGATTACCCCACTGTACGACCAATCCGCTTAACATTGAAGTTTTTGTGATCGCTTTTGCGATCGCAAAACGATGATTTAAATGGGTTTTTTTCATTTCACGATGATCGGTTCCCTGCTTCAGGAACCAATTTTCGCTTTACAACGATCAGCAAACAGTTGATCGTCAGGTTTCAAAACGGCCGCTGGCTGAAGAAAATGGCTCCCTGCTGTTTTTAGGACTGATTTTTCGCTTAACAGGCACCAGAAAATGGCTGCCGTATGGAGGATCTTTGCTGGACGAGAAGATATTCAGCCCATTGGAACGCATTGAACGGTTTTCAATGCATTTCAATGGGCTTTTTTATTTTGTTTGACGATGTTTTCGTTCTACAGCGATTTCGCTGGAATGAATTAATGTTGTCAAGCGAGGCACCACTGTATAGGGTCCATTCTTTATAATTCTGCTCTCTTCCACTGTCTGGAAGAATATGCAGGAGCAGGAGTGACTGCAGTAATGATGGAAGCTTTTCACTTTTTTGTCTCATTTCTTTCATTCTTTTCTTGCTTAAATTGCATACATTAAGTGCACTCCCTGGATTTTTGTTCTTTCAGAGGCAGCTCGCTCCTCAATGTGTCTTTTGGGATAAGGACTCCACAGGTAAGGAAGTGCTTGCAAAAGGGTTGAGGGGAAAAAAAGCAGGTTTGCGAAGCAATCTTTGGGGTGTCTTCTCCTGTTGCCTGCATTCTTCGCTCATGGGTAGGGTCCAAAACTGGACTGAAATCTCATTTTCTAATCTAATTAGAATTACAATTGCATGCTGTCACGTTGATTCGGACTCAGGGCGACCCTTTCCAGGGCTTTCCAGAGAGCAAGTCCTCAAAAGTATTTTCCCCTTCCCTTCCTCTGGGGGAGCCTTGGGACCCATGTGCAGCTGGCCCAAGGCTACCCGAGCTGGCTCTTCTCCCTGGAGGCCCAGTGGGGGAATCGAACTCACAGCCTTTACCTCCATAGCCAGGTAGAGATCTCACTGACCTTTCCAACCAGTTCAATTCAAGTTATACTTTATATAGACAATACGTTTATGCTGTCAAGTCACTTCCAAAACCCTTCCCAGGGTTTTCTAGGTATCAAGTCCTTTGAACTGGTTCCCTAGTCCATGTTTGCAGGCTCCCAGAAAATACTGAAAGCACACCGGGAAGGGAAGAAAAAGCAGGAATATCTATGAGAAGCCTTTATTTCTTGCCATACCCGTAAGATAGAGAAATGTGTTACTTTAGAGAAGGATCACAACAGCATGAGGAGTTGCTGTATTCTTGACCCTGTTGAAACTTTTGCAACCTCGCATGCTGTCTGTAGTTTGTCTGGCACCTTTCTGTGCTGCAGTGATTGCCAATCTCTCCGATATTAACGAATTGTTCCTTCCCACCTAAGAATTCAAAGAGAGCCCAATCTCTCTTTCTCTCTCTCTGTCCTTTGTCTGTTGAATTCAGTTATGCTGTTGGTTGTTAATATGTTGTTATCTGTTTCCAACTGTAAGCAATGAAATGTTTTCTTTCTTTTTACTACTAATGTCTCAGGGTGAGTTAATGAGAAAGGGGTGGACTATCTGAGGAACTTCAAACTCTTCTCCTCTGTGAATCTCTGTACCTCTCCTGTGCATTGAAAGGAGAATTTTGACTAGACATTCAAAACTCTGCAGTTGATGTGATCTCCATAGCTCTTGTCCTGTCAGAGCTCTGAGGGAGAGACCGACGGGGTGCTGCTTCCAGTAGCCTTTCTCTGGTCTTTAAAATGAAACCCCCCCAGCACTGCCAGTATTGGTGGCACTGTTGACTAGGTGTCCTTGTTGAGATCTGGCGCTTGGCGATTCCCGTTTGAAAGAGAGATTCTCCTTTTATCTCTAGCCAGCCAACACGGCCGCTGGAATACATCAGGTTGTGAAGCAGTTCCGGGAGATACCCAGACCGTCTGCCTGTGTGACCACCTCACCTTCTTCGCCGTCCTGATGGTGAGACCCCCTCAGCTCCCGGTAGAGTTGCTGAATGGATCAGCCGGCCTCCCTTCCAGTCCGTTAAGCCCTGTCCTTCCTTCCTCAGGTGTCCTCCCCCGAAGTGGACCAAATCCACCAGGAATACCTCACCCTCCTGACCTACATCGGCTGCATCATTTCAGCATCGGCTTCGTTCATCACCATCTTCTTCTTCCTTTGCTCAAGGTAGGGTTAGAGTTGATGTCTCGGCTCTAAGTCGGAAACAGGCGACCGACTGGATGGAGGAGGAAAGAGAGACGGAGCCCTGTGGGCTTCACTGAAGGATCTCCGTAGGGGATCACCCGCCAATCTGGGGAAGGTGGGCAAAACTGGCCACAAGGAAAGGCGGACAGCTCTAGGAGAGAAGGCATGTGTCCCGCCAGGGTTCGGCAAGCTGGTGCCTTCCAGATGTTTTGAATGACAACGGCTGTCATCCTTGAATGTTGGCCTAGCACGCTGGAGAGCTGTAGCCAAGAGCATTGGGAAGTAAAGCTCAATGGTTTAGGCACCTGGCTGCAGAGCCAGAGTTTGAGAGTTCAATTCCCCACTGGGCCTCCTTGGCAGGGCCGGACTCAACAATCCATTACATCCCTTCCAGCTTTGCAGTTCTAAGATTATTATTATTATACAATTTAGCTGCAGTGTGGATATTTCTTTGCCAAAAAAAATATGTAACTTTCTCAGACCCTGGTGATAAGAAAGATATATCACACACCCCCTTTTTCTCCTCCTTAGGAAGAAGCAGAGAGACCACATTGTCTACGTCCACATGAATCTTCTCTGGGCCATTTTCCTCTTGGACATGAGCTTCCTCATCGCTGTCCCCTTGGCCCCCACCGGTGGGGACACCGCCTGCAAAGCGGGCGCCATGTTCCTCCATTTCGGCGTCCTGGCCTGCTTGACCTGGATGGGCATTGAGGGCTACAGCCTCTATCAGCTGGTGGTCGAGGTCTTCAGCCCCTACATCAAGCACTTCCTTCTCAGGCTTTGCCTGATTGGCTGGGGTGAGTACCAGAACAGGCAGGCTTGCAGACCCTGCCCCTTAGGAAACTGCGGCGCAAAAGCAAAAGGGTCCCATACAGCAGTGGTCCCCCAACCTTGGGCCTCCAGATGTTCTTGGACTTCAACTCCCAGAAATCCTGGCCAGCAGAAGTGGTGGTGAAGGCTTCTGGGAGTTATAGTCCAAGAACATCTGGGGGCCCAAGGTTGGGGACCACTGCCATACAGAGAAGAAGCAGCTCCTATAGACCAGTGGCTCCTTGTATAACAGCTTTGCTACAAAGCTTCCATTCAGTTTTTTCTTCTGAAAAAAACAACAACTGTGGGTCAACTTAGACAACATGCCAGCTTCGTAAGGAGAACCCAATACTTTTTTCTTGTAGAGACGGAAACTGGTGACTCCAGTTTCATGCGGGCAATGAATCCAATTTCCAGTCCAAACTTTATAGAAGCTTTCAAAAATGTGGGACTCGGTTCTCCAAATATATTCAGCACCATGGAGAGTTCTTTCACAGCTTTGACTAAAACCTGGAATGGATTCACCGCCCCCTTGTAACAGGAGCCAACAAGGTGTATCCTCTCTAAATTCTGCTTCTGACTCGAAACCACATTTGCATCAGGATGATTGATCACACAGCAAAAGCAAGTGATCGGCAGCACGGAGGGAGGAGGCAATCTGGGGTTAGAATCATCAGCACAGTAGGACCCCCTGTCTGTGGGGGATTGGTTCTGAGCCTCCCCATGGATGCTAAACAACATGGATTATAGTGAATTCTATTTTACTAGTGAATGCTCTACATAGCATGGTCTCTGGCTCCCTGTAGTGGCCAGTTTTGGTAACTTCATCTTTAGAAATATATGTTTCTGGGATTTTTCTTTTAGTATTTTTAATATTTTCAGACTGTGGATGAGTGAATCAGTGGATACGGATCCTGTGGATATGGGGGTCCTACGGTACTTAGAAATCGAATGCATGTATGTGAAGGCAGGGTGACGAGCACCACAGAGAGAGCAGAAGGATTCATTGGGCTTGTTCTCGGCCTGCAGGCCTTCCCCTCTTCATTGTGTCTCTGATCTTCGTGATTGACGGATCACACTACGGACCCTTCTCCTTGAAAGTCTACGACTCTTCTGGAGGAATGACCGACACAACCATGTACGTTCTCAAGGTTTGGGTTGGAGCCGTGGGCACGGCAGCAGCTCCCCTCGCCCGGCTGATCCAGGAGGTTGGCTGCCTTTGTGGTTTAGCAATGACCATTGACCCAACCCACCGTGACCCACCCCTCCCTCCCTATTGGGGGTGATGGAGGGGCAGCCCTGCAGCCACCAGGCTGCTTTTACACCTTGCCGCCTTCCCTTGGCCCCTCTTCCTGGAGGAACAAGACCCATCACATTTTCTGAAAGCCACCAGGAATGGGAATTCACTTTTCAGATGGATTCGGTCAGAAAGTCATGAGCCCCTGAGCCCACCAACCTTACCCAGCCTTGATTCTGTCTTCTGCCTGTTTCTCTCCTGTAATGAAACGAAACAAAACAAAAATCTAAAAAATCCACTTTTGGCATCCTGGAGACCAAACCTGCTTCACTCCCACTTCTCACCCTCCCCAAATATGAACCTGTGCCAGGTTCATGGGCTCTACAGGGTTCTTGGAATCTGCTGCATTAAAACACTGGCTTTAACTAGCGTATATACACAGAGTCGCAGTTCTTGCAAGGGCAAATTATTTCTCACCTCTGTGTATATATGCTGGTTAAAGCCAGAGTTTCAATGCAGCAGATTCCAAGAACCCACAGTTCATCTGGGGCAGAGTTTATCAAGGGCACAAAATAAAAATTGTGAGAAATAATTTGCCCTTGCAAGAACTGCGCCCAGTTGATTTATATACAGATTACAAGAACCCTGTAGAGCCCATGAACCTGGCACAGTTCATCTGGGGCAAAGTGTGTCAAGGGCACAAAATAAAAATAAAAAGCATGCAGAACAGCCTTTGGAAGGGCAGGGAGCCTCCCCTCCCTCCTGATGAATGAATGGAGACCTCATACTTCTGCTTTCCTTCTTTTCCAGCTGCTGGATCACAAGAACGGAGATCAACAACTTCCTGAACCTGGGCTTTTTAAGCCTGGTGCTCTTCTTCAACAGCCTCATGCTGGCGGTCATGGTGCGAGAGATACTCAGGCTGAAGCACCGGGAGCACCACTGGGAATACGCGGTGATGCTCCTGGGCTTAAGCTGTGTCCTGGGCATCCCTTGGGGGCTGGCCTTCTTCTCCTTCGCCGCTGGAACCTTCAAGCTGGTGGCCGTCTACCTCTTCACCATCCTCAATTCTTTTCAAGGTCAGGGAGCTGCGGCTGTCTCTCATCCTCCTGATGGGTTCACTCCTGGGTCACCATCCCTTTTCTCCTGTAATTTCAGAAGCTAGCTAGAGATACGTAGCTAAGCGGGATACCTCAAACTGAACTCCTGTCATGCTGACATAAAAATGGCCTGCTTTGCTCCTGATATTTCTGTTCCGCGTCTCCAAAGAGATCTTGATTAAGGTGGTGGAGAGATTTCTCAAGCCAGGCCATTGTCTTCAGAGACAGGAGAAACTATAAGTTGACACCAGGGATGGGAGTTTTTGGACTACACCCTGCACTGTTTTCCATTCTACCTGCGGATAAACAACTTAGAGAAACCTGAATATGGCTCACCTGGGAGAAAGCCCTCAACTGCTAGGCCTAGCTGTACCCAAGCTTCTTGTTCCCACCCTGGTGCTTGCTGGGAGCTTTCTCTCTGAACAGGAAGCTCGGTGGAGCCAGGCCTAGTTCCACCTTCAGGTTTAGGCGTTCCTGCTAGGCGTGCCACATTTAGATGTGTGTAAATGGTCTGTCTATCAGGTAGAAGTAGAATAAGAAGTTGTGGGGTTTGTGGATCAAAAAACCGGAAATCTCCAATGGATACATCATTTAATTTTTAAATGAATTTTTTAAACAAATGAACCAGAATAATCTACATAAGGCTCATAGGGCTTGGTTTCCAGTTCCTTGAGCGTCCTTGTTGCCTTCCTCTGAACTAGTTTGTTGCCACCCTTCTTAAAGGGCGGTGTCCAGAATTGGACACCGGCCTCAAGATGAGGCCTGACCCGGGCTAAATAGAGGGGAACCCGTAGTACTTCACGGGATTTGGAGACCATGCTTCTGTTGATGTCGCCTAAAAGAGCATTGGCCTTTTTCAAAGTGCCGTGCACTGTTGGCTCCCATTCAGTCGTGCTCCACAACAATGGAGAAAGTTACGGAGGAGTGTTCAAGCTGTACGTGGGAGGGTCACATGATTGGGGAGGTACAATCCAGACACAGGCATTCCTCTTCTATGACCATTAGGTCTGGGTTTAAAAGCTGTAGAGTGACCTTTGGGATATGAAGGAGATGCTCTACCATTGAATGATGGCCTTTTCCAGATGTGAGCCTTTGGCAAGGTGGAGAAAGTGGGGTCATGCTGCAGCTAATGCTGCAGCTGTTCCCCCCCCCCATCTGAATTGCTCAGTTCTCCCCCCCCCCGATCCTGCTCATCGTATGCCTCTTTCTCCCTTCTCCGCAGGCTTCCTTATCTTCCTTTGGTACCTGGCAAAAGTTCTCCAGTCCCGCAGATCTTCCTCCATGCAGTGTTCAACTTCCAACAGTATCAAGCTGCAGTCCAACAGTACCAGCATATGATCCAGCGGAGGCGGCTTCGATCGCGAGCGGCTCGGCTGTGCCGGCTTTTTTGGGAATCCCGCAGAAAATCTCTCCTGTATATATGTATTATTTGATAGAACTGGGTTGTAGACATTTTCACTTTGCAAAATATTAATTTTTTAAGTGCAATTTCTTTTTTTATATATATATGAAAAAAAAGGACTATGGTGTAAAAAGTTTTTGAAAGTACTTTGGATCTTGTCGAACAATCAGTCTTGCTAAGAAAGGCCTTGTTTTCTTGGTAATATTTGACGAGTGGTCAAAACCCAGAATCGGGGGCTTTGGGTCCTTGAAATCTGCAGCTAGTGCAGGGTGAGCCCAGCACCATTCTCCCATTGGATACATCCCGCCTAGAACGTGTTATAGCAGCACTCCGATCATCTTTCCAGGCCCCCATTTCCCTTCTGGGCATAACAAGGAGAACAATGAAGCTGTTTTTGTTGGGAGCAGAAGACGCTGATCAAAAATTAATCATTCATGTGCATTTAAGGGGATAAGAGGAAGGGTGGGGGAGGGTAAGCAGGCAGATCTCAATCAACCCGAGGGGATATTGGCTTACAATAATTTTTGAGTGTTGAATTCATGCCTGATTATAGGTAGGATTATGTTTCCAACACCTGTTTCACTTCAGAAAACAAGAGGAAGACGGAAGTTGAGAGAGAGAGAGAGAGATGTTATGCTTTGCAGTGGTCTCCAAAACCCTCTATAAGTGAAGTGAAGCAGAAAGATGTTGGAATCATAATCCTTAAAAAAACCCAATACAAACCCAATCAGCAAATCAGGAAGTGGAGACCTCTCCCTTCTCTGTTGGCCAAATTTGAAAAGTGTGGGTATTCTCGTGTTGCTAATATTATTAATTACTTAAGCACCCCCCCAAAAAAAACCAACAAAATTCCCACCCGTGTCTAGAATTGGGTACAGTCATTCTTTGATCTGTGTGTATCTATATGTAGGGAATAACTCAGGCTTAATTCTTGTACAGTATTGTTATGAGTGCAGTGGAAGCCACACTGATGGTCTGTTCTCACATGATGGGAACCATGCCCAGATATGTGACGATGGGAGGGAGCAGACAGCTTGGTTCCTTCTCCTGTTAGCATCTCCTGCCCTGGGAATGAAGAGGTTCTGGGCACCTCTGGTGGCCTCCCTTCTCTGGATGCAGTGGGTGGGCAAGCTGTGGGCCAGGCACAGGAGGGCAGGCAGCCACCTAAAAGCTTGCAGTGGCTATTTTAAGTGGAGCTACCCTGAAATTGCAGCCACATATAGGTGCGGTTTTCCCAGGCACTGTATTTCTGAAACTCTTAGATACCTCTTGAAATGTTGGAGCGCAGCGGTGGGCGGGCTTTATATTGTGGCCAATCAGGGGTTGAGGGTGGGCGTCTCCCTTCATTCTAAGTCCCCAGCCTTGGGCCTCCAGATGTTGTTGGACTTCAACTCCCAGAATTCCTGGCCAGCAAAGGTGGTGGTGAAGGCTTCTGGGAGTTGTAGTCCACGAACATCTGGAGGCCCAAGGTTGGGGACCCACTGTTCTATGGCCATCGGATGTCTTCTTCAGTGTTGGCCTTTGGGTTTCTGGTGCCTGCTGCAGATCACGGGGTGAGAGGAATGGCTCTCAGTTTGCCAGAAAATACAGTAGGGGCCCTGCGTCCACCAAGGATCAGTTCAAAGCCCACCCCCTGGCAGATGCTGAGAAAAGGAGATCCTAATAAAGGCTGTTTTAATAGTGAACGCTATACAGAGCGTGGTCTCTGGCTCCTTGTAGTGGCCAGTGCTTACATCGTCACCTTTAGAAATATATATTTCTAGGATTTTTTAAAATATATATTTTCAGACCATGGATAAGTGAATCTGTGGATACTCATCACCTGGATAAAGGGGTCCTGGCGCACAAGACAAATGGTGAAGATGAGCAAAAGATCAACAATGAAATTTAATGGACTGCAATGGATTAAAGACAAATATATTGATCCTCTCCCCCCTCCCTTATCTTATGACATGACAAACTGCAATATATTGATCCTCTCCCCCCTCCCTTATTTTATGACATGAAGAGCCATAACAAACTGGAAAGAAGCACTGTCATTTGTTTATTCACATGCAAAGCAAGGAGGCAGAGATGTTGAAACGGAGGATGTTCTACTTTGGGCCCATCACGAGAAGGCAGGATTCTCTGGCAAAGACCATCATTCTGGGAAAGGTGGAAGGCAGCAGGAAAAGAGGAAGGCCAAATACGAGATGGACTGATTCTTTAAAGGAAGCCACAGACTTGCGTTTGCTGAGCAAGACGGTTGAGGTCAGGACATTTTGGAGATCACTCATTCATGGGGTTGCCAAGAATCCAGGGCTACTTGATGATGACACATAACAAGAAAACAAGGGGCAAGTGGCATAGTTAGTTTGACATGAAAAGGGGCATTAGAAGGAGAAACTGAACAACAGGTCATCCTTTTCAGACTACGGGTCAAATCCCATGTTAGAGGAAAAGCATATTTCTGGTAAATACAGCCTTTTCCCATCCGGTCACATGTTCCTTTCAACCCTCTGTGGCTAAGCAATGGGGCTTGCACACAAAGTCCTTGTTTCCCTCCCAGTGACAATTCATCATCCCACAGACCAGCTGATGTGCAACCTGCAGGGTGGGACAAGGGCTGTGCTCAGAGGAATCCTGCCTCTACGGATGTGCTAATGGCGGCGTCACTTTGGGCCCTTAATAGATGCATTTCAGAGTGAGCTTCCACTGGGAAGTTGCCCTGGGCGTAACAAAGCTGGTCATCTCCAAGGCCCCATATTACACTCTCGTTTTTCTCTACAACAAAGCGACAACACGGCAACCCCTTGGGTCGCTTCTCGGTGCTGACGTTTCCCTGCATTTCATGGTCCGAAGCTGGTTAGTTTCATCCTCTTTCGCTTAATGGTGTGGGAGCTCTGCCGGCAGAAGGAGGTGCAAAAAGGAGGCGAGCTTGGGATCGCTGGCCGTCTGTCCTCATCACTTCCCGTTGCACAAACATCTCCCTTCCCTCCCACCCCAAACAAATAAGCTGATGGACTGGAAATTCTCCTCCCCCTCCAAAAAGAGAGAGAGAGAGAGAAAGGTGCCCGCCTGCCCTGTCATTGTGCGCAACCATCGGGTTTATTTCGGCCTCTTGCTGTTTACAAGTCGCTCATTTCTTCATGGCTTTTGCAACAGTGATCCAGACGAAGGAGGCCACCAGGCCTGCCAAGACCACGGCACTGAGGATCCACAGATGCAACCCTGGAAAGAAGACAAGAGGAAGCAAGGCGGGGTGGGAGGGAGAGAAAAAGATGGAGGCACGTCAGCACAACTGGGAAGGACCCAGATTCACTGTGAGCTGATCTAGGAGGAAGCGTACGTACTCCAGACGGAGTCCTGTGCCTTGGCATCCCGCATTTCCAGATGTGATGGAGAGAGGAACTGAATAGGCCCGTAGGAGACAATCTTCTTGTAGGCATCCACTGCCTCCCTCTTGGTCTTCCGCTGGCTGGGACATTGCTGTGGCCCAATGCAAAATAAACAAATATAAATAAATTAGAAACCCCCTTCTGGTTCCACTGCTAGAAAGATGATGCATCTTCTGATGGTTTGTCTGACAGCCCCAGACTGCTGTATTTTTAGCACAATCAGAACACCATTTGGGTGAGTCTCTGTGGCCAAACCAGATTGGGCTACTTAAGATTGCCTAGAGGTGAAGGATGCCATTCAGTGGTTTGGGGGCTGGAGACCACATAGCCCCTGAAGCAACACTTAGGGGGCCCTTCCTCCCTGTAAAGGGAAAGCAAGGAGTGGGGAGAAAAAATCAACAAAATTTAACAAAACTTATCAAAAGATATCCCTCCTTGTCTCCTCCTGTCTCCTCCCCTTTCTGGGAGAAAGCTTTCGATCTTTATTTTCATGTTTCATGGAGGAGTGGGAGGAAGCTTTTGGTTTTCCAATGTCAGTTTGCTTTGCAGTCTTATTTGCTGGAACTGAACCAAAATGGAGCAATCCTAACTATAACCAAAAACGCAAAATGAAAAAAAAAATCAGGCAAGCAAAAATCAGCAGCTCCTGGCAGGGACTGAAACAGTGTTAGTAGACGTGCATCAGGGTTTACAATGGCATGTGCATCCTCTGATGGCCAGAAAAAGGAATGAAACAGCCTGGCCCCAGAGCAGACCAAGCAGTGGGACAAATCCTTGTCTAATCACAACCTTAGTTATTTAATTAGGCACGTTTGCAGGAAAATGAACCAGATATAGTCTGTGAGGTCTCCCAGGGTTTGGACTACAAACCCCATCACGCCTACCTCTGTTCAAGGCATTCACTGTCTCAGTACTCTGAATTCACGAGGAGTCAGGGCCCTCTGTTACCCTGACCTGGAGATGTGCTAAATATGCTCCCCAAGTGGGAATACCACTGTCCCTGCTTCCAGTTTTGGTTTAAAGCGGTACGGCTTGCCTTCTGCAGAGTGGAAGGGAAAGTTAGGACTTCTTTCCAGGCACCCGTGACCCGTTTTAGGCTAGGAGGCAGCAGGGGTGTCTTTTTTAGAAATTCTGGTAGTGACTGAGTCTGAAATAAGTGAGCAGAGGCCTAAAAATAGGGGAGAAGACCTGTCCATGCTCCTAGAGAACATAAAACATGAGACATGAGAGGCCTTTTAAATAAAACTGGGAGGTGCTGGGGAGGGCACAGCAGTGGCCCTCAGAGGCCTGGGAGGGCGTATGTGGCACGGATCTGGCCCTTGCGCTCTGCCTTCCCTCCATCGCGGCCTTTACCTTGACGCAGGGCTCGGGGGAATCTGGCGAGCAGAGGTGGACTTGGCAGTGTAGAAAAAGTTCCGTGAAGTTCTGGAACTGGAACATCTGGAAGCTGAACTTGGCGGTGGTGCTGGTTCCGATGGCGTTCAGGAAAGTCAGCGTGTGGTCGTGGGGACACCTGGAAGAGGCCACACAGACCACGGGTCAGGTCGCAGTTTCCGTGTTTAGAGCCACAGAGGCACAAATCAGGACGACACGGACCGAGACTGTCCCTCATTTCATAGGATGCATGAGAT